GGTCGAGGGTAGAGGGTGGGACGGGAGAAACGCACACACGGAGGAGACGCGCAGATGTGAGCGCATCCTCTGCTTCTTTCAACTCGTTTGTTGGAGTTGAGTTTGAATATCATGATGTTTATGTTCTGTGGTTGTGAGAGAGCTGGGCGGCTGTTAAAGTTGCATGATAAAAGCGGATGCTGTGGTAAAGTCCGGGACTACAGTCTGAGTGGGTGTGTGCGTTGTCCGCACAGTGCGCGCTCCTGCGTTTTTATGTGTGGGGCAGAGGAAGAGGATTTTTTTTTAAAGAAGTCATTTCGCACCTAGGCACCCCGTTGAGAAGAATTGTTGACCAAAGAGAGCAGCTTAAGTATCAGACACTTTTCCTTTGATGCTTCTGAACACAAACTTACTGCAGCTGCGACAATCTTCCACCTTTTAATATCTGCATACTGGCACGAAGTAACCTGCAAGATCTCTGAGCAAACGGGCTGACTATGACGAGATCTCTGATAACTTGACAATCAGCTTCATTATATGCATAATAATGCAGCTTCAGGGCGTCATTTTATCGGATAGATTTACTACATCGAGAAGCTTCGTTTGTCTGTAGAATAAAGCTGTGATAGCCTTTTTAAATACGGACTAAGTTCACTAACACTCGCGGGCATACAGATTCAGCTGTTTTGTAATGAATAAATAAAGTAATTTAAATGTATTATTCTGACAAATTCAAGTTTCTCTTGAGAAGTCGCACCTGGGAAATTTAGAATGAGCTGTTTGATGATTTAAAGCCGGAAACATGTTGTCAGGTTGTCATCAGAAACCAGCCCCAGCCTCGTGTTCCTATCAAATAAAATGTAAACCTAAATTTACCTAATGCGAAGCAAAATGCCTATAAGTGTAAGACCAACATTTCGTGAGAACAGCTACCCAAATACTATGAAATATTTCGAAAACCAGGTATTGAGAAGCACTATTTGCAATAATAGAAATACATCTCAGAGAAAAATAGGCGAAAATGGTCTTTTGGTAAAATAGCATTGATTTGAGTGATTGTCGTCTGCCTAATCATTTAAAATGATTCCCCTTGTATTTGTTTTGTCAAAGGCAAATCACTAATACGCTTCAATAATCTAAAAGTCTGATAGCCTACGTTATTGTGCTTAACCATTTAAAAAAAAAATAGGCTGTCATAAAATAAAATGTTCATGTTAGGGTCGTTTTTTAATTTGTGTTTTCTCAAACAGGTAGCCTAATTAATATAAACAATATTGCACACATTTCAGAAGAAGTTATTTGAGTTTGTAGTTCACATTGAGCCTGAGGGTGGGGCTGGTTTTTGGTTTGGCTATCGTTGACACGGTCTTGTTGTCATAATTGGAGTCTCTCCAAAGTTACAGGGAGTAATTGGGCGGCATATGGACACCTTAATGTAAAGTGATGCCTTATTAATCTCACATGAGTGCACGAATCAGAGCAAGTGACGCGGGAATAACGCGAGGGAAGAGGCAGTTGATTTACCTCTGAGCAAGGCAGCAGGTCCGGCATCTGCTGCTCAGCCATGAAGGCATTTTGATTAATTAGGGAACGTTTAGAAGAAATTCCTTGATAAAAAAAAAAAAATATATATATATATGCAGACAGTTAAAGTAAAAGCAACTGTCATAGTAGCTCAGGTGATTATTTGTGTTTAGACCAGTTCGTCTTAAATGCTCTAATAGGGGAATTAAAACTGTAGCAGCTATTACAGAAGATGATCTCTATTTAGCTCTTAGTGTAATCTTGTCTCATCGCCTGCTAACTGGTTTTCAGTCATGTCAAAGTGGTACTTTTTTATTTGATGCATCTTTCATTTTTACCTGCCTAAGATAAAGTAAAACGCGTTAAAGCATCGTCATCTGGGCAACTTAAATACAGTTTGTATTTTTATAAATCCACTTGGGCTATGTCAGGTCTTATAATAAACAATTTAATTTCAATTTTAGATATAACCTTATTTCTTTAATAACATCTGCAGGACAATAATAAGTTTACGCCTTAAATATCAGCCAGGCCGCATTTAAAAAATGTATATTTTAAGGTGTGTTATTCGTACAAATCAAAGGCCTTCGCCTGGGTTCCACCAGGAATTATAATTTTATTCAGTATTGATTTACTCGCTGTGCTGTGTTTTCAAGGCCTATACTTCAAATATGCTGTAAAGGCCATCCACAAACACCGCAATGCTCATTTCTATAAAAGAAGTCAGAGAGGAATCATTTCATATCCTCGAACATTTTTCAACCTTAAACATATTTGTGTTTTCCTCCTTTATATGTCTATAATTTTATCGGAGGGTTTGATGATTATTCCTGAAATACAATTGCAGAGCAGCAATATTTATGGGACTCGAGTCGTAAAGGTGAGCTGTTGCATTAGTTTATTGCTTCAAAAGGATTTAATAACAGCAATGAGATGTATTTCAAAAGGCTAATTCAGTTTCACTCTAAATACACCCTTACATCATACGGGTTCATTCGCCATAAATGACCACAGAGGCCAAAGTCAAGAAGCCTCATTTATAAAAGTTTAGTTTTACCCGATGCCATTTAGCAAAGGCGTATTCCTAACAACCAGTAATTGTCTTTTTAAACATCTATAACGCTTGCATCGCTGTGTCACTTTGCAGAGCTGCAGAAATATTGATCCACGGTCCTGTGCGCGAGGCTGCAGATTGGTCCTGTTTGGATCTGCTGCTGTGGGCTTCACGGGAAAGATGCCCCGGATTAATAATCAGTGTGAAACCTGAGTCATTGACACGATGCATTCAGGTTACCTCACTTTGCTCTGGCACAAATGTTTTAATTTACGTTTTATCCCCAACTCCTCTATATTCACACATGTATAGATATAATGCATTCGTTTTTTCGGTATCCTTTATCCTTATTACATTGACATGTTTCATCTTTCAAACGTGCTCGGAAAAATCGTGACCCTTATCTTTTCTGCAAAGCAAATGTCACCGGCTCGTAGGGGCCACTCAGGCCTGTCTCGGCACAATGGCCACAGAGAGCCAGCACGCATAAACACACGGCTCAGGTCGTGCAGACATGGCAGCAGCATATCGATCCGTATGAGAATGTGTGGATGAGGTTTGCTTCCATGTAAGGCCAAACCGTGGCCTTTAATACTGCTCTGTCTTTCTGCATCTCGTTTGTGTATTCGCGCGGGCGTGCAGCAATAAAAAACGAAATGAACTTGAAGCATGCTTCAAAATAAAAGAGAGTAGTTTATTTATTTTATAAAACATGGTTAAAAATGTATAGCAGGAGATAAAACCCTAAAATTGTCTGTATAGAAGTCATTAAAGCTAATGAAATAAAAGTGTTAATACCAAAAATAAAGCTTGGCAGTCCTGATAAGGCTTTATAATAAGTGTAGCCATATTGTCAGTGTTTTTGTTTCCCTGTTGTCAGCCTCGTAAGTCCATTATGTGCGCAGGACTGCACGCTTGGACAGCCACACTTCGAGGAATTAGTGGCCCTTTGTCTCGACACACGTCACACACACGCCGTTGACATTGACTTCACATCAGAGACAGTTTAACTTCTTCTCTTTTTTTCTTCTTCTTCTTTTATTTAACTCGTTCAACCGAGCGCTGCGGCTATTGTGGGGACCCTGACAGATGCGGGGCCCCTAGCAGGTCCAGGACAGGGAAAAGTCTGAAAGGTTAATCTGTCCCCCCGCAGATGTTGGCTTTGGGAGTCTTGAAGCGTCACCTTTGACATGTCCCTCATTCAGCGGGGGGTCCAGCAGGACACTGACCGCTGCAAGCTGTCACCTCGGCCGGCTGAGGACGCCCTGTAATACCGCTCTATTAGGATAAACGGCCCCTGACATGTCCGCAGCTTTTATCCAGCATACAGCATTATGCATTTCAACAACACAGACAGGCATGTTATGTGTCAGTATGTCATTTTCTCCTGGCTTTATATAATGTGGATGTTTGTGTATTTGGTTTGTATAGGCTACCATCTGGTAGTTTCTGTTGGCTAAATAAAAGTTATCTTATTGGAATCAATCACATTTGGGGTTTTGTTTTATTTAATTTCATGTCATTGTTAAGTTTTTAATATGTTTTTAAATTTCGGGATTATATGTGCATCATGTGTATATCCTCATATAGGACACACACACACAAACACACACACACACACACACACATAGTGTGCTGGGCTTGGTTCGTTAAGCCTAATGGTTGAACAATAGACACATCTGCTCATCTTTTTCTATCAAAAGAGAAGGTACTACAGTCTTCTCCGTTTGTTTAAACCGCCACATATTTGGAAAGGGTGTTGGGGGAAGGGGAAGCAGTTTAAGCCATAGAAAAATAAACCCATGTTGAGATTAGGAATTCAAATTGTAGACTTACTTCAGCAATAGCATTTTTGCTGCTAGTTGAACAATCTTGCTTTGTTAGAATTTCTGAAACTTGGTTTTTGTTTTATTGAGATGAATTCCGCGAGAGTGAACTTGAGGTTTAAAATGTTTTGAATCCAAGACATCACTAGTTAACCAACTCCAAATGAACCCGGAAGTTAACTTCATTTACACCTAATAATTTAAGGAGGACTGAAGATAATGCCTCATTAGAGCCCTAATGAATCTCTATATTTCTTAATAACACATTAGGCGCTCCAAGCATTATGCTTCCATATTTCATCCTGTGAGGATTTTGAAATAGAAACGCCTTTTTTTAGATTATAAATGTTTAAGTAGAACCTAAACGGGGCGGAAATTCGTATCGGGAAGAACAGCTTTTAGCAGACCTGTGGTTTGTAACCTCCCTTCCTTAATAAGGTAGCTGACGTCAGAGCAACGGGGCGGTGTGTGTGCGCGTGTGTGGTAGAGAGAGAGAGAGAAAAAGAAAGAGAGTACAGGAGTGATGGGTGTTCATAGTGCGCATGTGCAGACAGTGATCTGTGCTGCGGTGGAAGAGGGGCTGGAGACACACAACTAGAGATGGCGCGGCACCCGACCAGAGCGCGAGGACAGCTGGTTGGCGGTGGGGGGGCTTGAGTCATAAAGAGAGTACCGAAAATAAAAAAAAAAAAAAAAAAAACAAGAAAAAAATTACAAGAACAAGCGGGATCCGGGAAAAGGAGTTTCCATTCTGCAAAACAACGTCAGAGAAGAGCAAAAAGTCAAAAGAATAAGAGAGGAGGCTGCTGCTGCTGCTGCCAAAAGAAAAGAGCAACAAAAGAAAATAGAACTTTACTGAACGTGAGGACTTCTGGACATCAGCTACCTGAGGTAGGTCAGATAGATGGTTGGTCCACAGCGCTACCCGGATCATGAACGCACAGCTGTCGATGGAGAATATTGGCGACCTGCACGGAGTCAGCCATGAGTCAGTGTCCGGTCACGGAGAGCTGCTGAGCGGCCACAGTCCACATTCCCGTCCGGGGCACCGGGCTCTGAGCCACCGCGCTATGGGCATGGCGACCCTGCTGGATAGCGGAGACTATCACCACGGACACCTGCACCCAGCCATCAGCATGTGCGAAGCCCCCCCTGGCATGAGTGCAAGCAGCACCTACACCACCCTAACCCCCCTGCAGCCCTTACCCCCCATCTCAACCGTGTCCGACAAGTTTCCTCCCCATCATCACCACCACCACACCACCATCATCCCCATCATCCTCACCATCACCCCCACCAAAGGATCCCCGGAAACGTCAGCGGCAGCTTTACGTTGATGCGCGAGGACCGGAGTTTGGCACCCATGAACAGTCTGTACCCTGCATATCATCACAAGGACCCCTGCATGGGTCAGAGCCTCTCCCCGCTGTCCGGCTCCGGTCTGGCCAGCATACACACGACCCAGGCTGGCATCCCTCCCTACGCCCACCCCGGTGCTGCCATGCCTGGTGAGAAGATGCTCACTCCCAGTGGGTTCGAAGCGCACCACCCGGACGGCCAGGGCTGGGGAATAGCCGGGAGCAGGCCTCCGGGCCCGTGCAGCAAGGAGGCGGTGGAGGGGGTGGTGTTTCTGGGGGCCAGATGGAGGAGGTGAATACCAAAGAAGTGGCGCAGAGGATCACCACGGAGCTGAAGCGCTACAGCATCCCTCAGGCCATCTTTGCCCAGCGGGTCCTGTGCAGGTCCCAGGGGACCCTGTCCGACCTGCTGAGAAACCCCAAACCCTGGTCCAAGCTCAAGTCTGGTAGAGAGACCTTCCGCCGCATGTGGAAGTGGCTGCAGGAGCCTGAGTTCCAGCGCATGAGTGCGCTCAGGCTCGCAGGTGAGCGAAGCCTCGGTAAAGCCCCCTTTTTGATTTCATCTTCTCTGAATGTGTTTCTGAGAAAAAGTCACTTATACTGAAACATTAGAACTGAATGCTACTTTATATTGAACATTGGGTAAAGTGGGCTCGGACAAAAACTGGATTTGTGGCTCTATATTATATACAGAAAAAAAAACATTGTCTGCCCATGACAAGTGTATGAAGGCTAAAATCAAACCATGGTAGTATTCAGGACAAATGTTCCCTCTGCAGGCTAAATGTTCATTATCATGGTCACACATAACATTATGTTTCCACGACTCATAAAACTTGTCTCAGGTATGCATTAATTGGTTCCTTCAGATTTGGCCTCCAACTTTGTCTTTTGTGCCTGTATGGATGAGGTCTGCACATTGTGGTCAAATACAACACGGCAGGTGAAAAAAGACAAAAAGTTAAAGGTGCTGCACAAAGCTGGTGCTCGTGCGTCAATTTGGTAGCCTGATATCAAACTTGCATCCTTTTCTGACTCTACATGGATTTTGGGTGTTGTGTGAAACAAGTTCTCATGTCATTTTACCTCAAGATATCGACCGCTGGACTGTGTGCGTAAGCTGATCCCAGGCCCAGAAATCATTGGGAATGTGTTTATTTAGGTGTAGATGCAACTGAGCAGCCTTTTTGGTGTTGTCCTAGGTGTAAACAGAGAGAGAGGGAATAGTGTGTATGTGTGCACGTGCTGTTTGAAGTTAAATAAAGGTTAAGGTGGAGGGAAGTTTCATTTAGGCTAAATGTTGTAGAATCGAGAGCACATGCTTGTGTTTTGGTCGTAAACTAGCCCTGACTCGGCTGAGGTTTGTCTAATTAACTGATAGACCTCTGTATTAATCTGTCCCTGAGGTATAGCACAAGTCAATTAGAGCGTGCAATGAGGCCCCAATCGCACGTGCGCGTTCACAGACACCCAACGGATTTTTTTTAAACTTTATGAGTCTAATCAATGTCCTACAAATGGTCTTTATGGCTTTTGGACAAAGTGAGGCTGCTTCGGCCACTTGGATGACTATTCGCTCGCATGTGCGTGGGCGTGTGTATGGCATTCACACGTGTGTGCACTTAAGTGTGACGGCAATAGATTATTTTTCAGTTTTCCCCTCTGCTGTTTGTATGTATGGGGGGGGGGGGCACATTTTATGAGTTACTTGCAAACTAGTAGAACATGTATCTGGTTTAACGTTTGAAAAGTGGCTATGTAGCCTAAGTGACACATTTTGTTCGTTTCTTTGATCAGCCTTCAACAATCGAAACAAGTGCTTACTGATAGATATTGATGAGTGTGTTTGGTTTTTAGGTTTTTGGTTATACCGGGAGAATAGATGTCTTAGGCCGGCGTTAGAACTTTTTCGTTTTTAATTTTCCTTGGACTAATTTAACATATCACATTAAATCTCGACCTTTAAAATAGAATAATTAATAAATAAGAGCTTTTGTTGACAAATTACCCACAACAAATATCTACGGGAAATAATAATTTACAGTTAAAAAGCTAAATGAATTTGGAGAGAATAGTCTAGAGCCTATTTTATTGATCTGTTCGTTCCTTGGTGAACCAGATATGTGATCGTGTTCTGAACTAGATGTGATATACGAATTGATTTTAGACTTCTGAAATTAATCTCAGGTCTTTTCTCCCTTTTCTCCGTATTCAATTACACAACTGAAAGTATTTGATAGAATAGAATAGATTTGTAAGTAGATGATTATTTGGCGTAAGACAGAAAATAAATTAAAAAAGTTGACATTTATCTTAGAATGAGAACTAGGCTAAATTGGATGTAATTTCAGAGACGACGTTGCTGTGCTTTTATAAATCCTGGGTGAATATGACCCTCGTGGGCTACAGAAAATTCAGAAATATTGTGTGAATGGTCAAAGGGTCCTTTTTCCAGTTGAATATTTGCTGCATTTTCAGTTCTGTTTGTTGTTCTCTGTGAGGTTATGAAACGCAGTACTGTCGTCACCCCATGTCACAGTGTGTTTGAGTGGAGTTATCTGTATATTTGTAATGATTAGCTGCAGGGGCAGCAGCTGTGTGTGTGTGTGTGTGTGTGTGTGTGTGTGTGTGTGTGTGTGTGTGTGTGTGTGTGTGCGTGCGTGCGTGCGTGCGTGCGTGCGTGTGTGTGTGTGTGTGTGTGGGTGTGTGTGTGTGGGTGTGTGTGTGTGTGTGTGTGAATAGTCTGATAACAAGGTCGTTGTTGTGTCCCCCTGGTCCTGGGAAAGCTGCTGCTTCTTTGCCCGGGCCTCCTCCTCCTGTCCCAGGCTCGCGCTCTGTGGAGGCTCCTGCTGTCCGCGTGGCCTTCACATGCTGATTTATAGCAGAGAGAAGCTCCGGCTTTCTGTTAATATTTACCAGCACTGGAGACACCGGGCTGCTCAAACTCACAAATACTCTCCAGTTTATGACCAAGCGGATAGCATGCTGCACTGCACCTTCACACACATCTCAGACAGTAGGCTATATGTGCTTCACGGAGGTTAGATGGGGGGGATCGACCGCTCATCTGAAATACTGACGTAATAGGCTATTACGTATGTCTCCTTGAATATGGTTGAAATGTGCGACTTAACTTTATCTAAATCTGGAGTGTAGTGACAAAGACATGGCATCAAAAATTTGGAATTAAAAAACGAAAATACAATTCAAATACAAACCTGAGGAAATAAGCCACTGTAAACACATAATTGGCCCAATAAAAAACATTTAAAAAAAAAACATTTGCAACAAATAATTCTCGGTATATTGCAAAAAATGGTACGCCTAATAAAATATAATATTTAGTTTTGAGTTTTAATGCTACTTTGTATTTTATCCGACGTGTTCTAAAAATACGCCATGCTAAATTAAGAATTGCTTTGTTGTGAGAATAAGCCGTTCATTAATTTTCCCAGTGAATCCATGTTGGGCCTCGCTGCTCAAACAGCTCACGTCTGCCACCTACTGGCCTCTGCTCACAGGTGATCCGTCTTTCAGGGCTTAACAGGAAATAATAATGACAAAAAACAAAAACATAAAATTAAATAGCGATTGGCTGTAGGATGACAGTAGGTTTGATTTGCTGTCACACTGATTCCATTCATTTTATTTTTCTGATATAAGATGATCTGTGGCTCATTTTTCCAGAGCTGTGGTCCACTGAGGGCTCCGTTTGTTTCAGCACCGCGGACAGCGCTCATTGTCCCGGACGGGCAGCCTCCTGTATGTCTGCTCCACATTTAAGCATTACAGAGCTCCTGATCCATTGGGCTCCCTGTGGGGGGTCCCTGTCAAAAAGTGAAAGAGTTAATTTATGCTGTTATTTCCCATGCAACCTTACAGCTTGTCCATTGACAGATTGTATGTTTTGAACAAAAGTAGCACTACATCCAACATGCAACATGGTCTGTACATGTTATATCTGACTGCTTAAATGATCTCAAGTGGTTGTTTTTAAGCTCTAAAAAAAGTATCTTAATGACATTTGTGGTCATTTTTGCATTAATAAAAAAAAAAGGATTCAACAACACCTTTTCAAAAACTCCAACATTGCAGATCCCACTGAGAGCCTTGAATATGCACTGCTTACTCCAGTGTGAATCCTGTAGTATACTTGTTTGTATCTAACTTAAATGTGGCAGCCGGTTTGACCAGTTAATGCATGTTAAACTGCCGAAGTGGGTTTCCCATTCAGATGAGCTGTTGTGTTTTCATGTTGTGGTGAAGACACATGAGACAGGTTTTAGAAGTGCTTCTTTCCAGAATTGTATCCACAGTTTTCAGAGCATTATGAAGATTGAGAGGCATCAGCCACACTTTATTTTACTGTTGTATTTTAGGATGATTGTGCATTATATTTTTTGGGTCATACTTGATACAGTATCCTTACTATAAACATGAATGGAAGAGTTGTTGACTCAAAAGAACAAAACCCTTCACCTGTTTTTGACCTTCATTATTGTACCTAAGCAATGCACCTTAGAGTTAGTTTTGGTAATGCATAGAAAACGTAAAATATACATTTTGGCGTTAAATATTCTTATCAGTGTGTCCCAGTTAGAATAAAACCTTGCAGAGTTTTACATGAAGATGGTACAGAGAACCATTGAGAGCATTCTTGGGTCAGTCCATGAAAATACTTGTGATTTTCTTACAGTAGCTTTCTGCCATTATTTTTTGTTTGAACACAACTAATGTATATCCTGCAATTTCTAAATGACATACACTCATTTTCTGTCTTTCCTCTGTACTCTCCACAGCATGTAAGCGTAAGGAGCAGGACCACGGCAGGAGTGATCGGGGGAACATGAGCAAGAAGCCCCGGCTGGTGTTCACAGATGTGCAGCGACGGACGCTCCATGCTATCTTCAAGGAAAACAAGCGTCCATCCAAAGAGCTGCAGGTCACCATCGCCCAACAGCTGGGCCTAGAGCTGGCCACGGTCAGCAACTTCTTTATGAACGCACGTCGCCGGAGCCTAGATAAGTGGGTGGATGACGGTTCCGGTCACTCAGTCAACTCTGGCCAGAATATCTGCACCAAAGCCTGAAGATGGACTGATCTGACCAACCTCATGGACTGACTCAACCTCGGTGGAAAAGCTTTAAAACTTTAGAGAAACAAAGAGAAACTTAAGAGAGACCTTGAAGCAACATTTTGCCCTTAAACCTGTACTATATTGATATTTATAGTATCCAAAGATGAAAAAACAAACCAAAGACTTCTTTTTTGACCTGCTTTGAAATGTTTGTTTCAGCAACACGTTTATGTGTAACATACTGCAAAAAGCCTATAGTTTTACCCTCCCCTTCACACACACATTCACTGTCACTGGTCTATAGCTTTAATATACCCCACTTTACCTCCCCAGCCAGTATCAATCTATCATTCACCATCCTTATCTTTAATCTGATTGGTTGGTTTTAATGATGGAGGTTTTAATCAGCCTGTTGGCAGTCTGGTCTGCAGATGTCCACACCCTTGAAAAACAGCCAGAATATGGAGCTCCAGTGGGATTGGCCAATCAACTTTAAAGACAAAGATAATCCTACAGGAGCGACTGGATTGTTGTGTTTGGATGGGTGGAGTTGGAATGTCCGTCCAGCTGTCTGTCTCTCTATCAAGCATTCCAGACAGACAGGGAGATGCGTCACGTGTAGACTGCTAACCCCGAGCCAAAATCACAAACCAAAAAAAACCCCTCATAGTAGTGCTTTCCTCCAACATGCTGAAGCGTTCAATGATTTAAACAAGAGAAACCAAAGCCTTCTACAAATCAAAGCTGGTCATTCATCTTAGATTAAAAACTTAACCAAAGAGTATATTTTATAGTCAACTCCTAAGAAAGACTGTTAGGCACTACAAAGAAGAGGAAGTGTTGCTTAAAGTCCATAACAACATACTGAGCCATGCTTCAATTTATGTTCCAAAGAAATGAAAATATTATCTAACAATCAGTTTTGGTTTACATATGAAGACTCTTTGACTCTACACTCAAAATTCATTTCATGACACTTTACATAAACCTGAGGTCATTGATGTTCTTTTTTTTTTATGTTATTCACAAAGACTCAACGTTAATCCACAAATGAGGAACGCAGGAGGTAACCGTGGCAAGAAAAGACTTCTTATTAACAGGCAGATACCTCAAGCTGAACCAGATTTATTAGTAGACAGTCATCTGCCAAGAATGGATTGACATTGGCCTTATTGATGCCTTCTTGAATCAAACTAATTATTGCAGTTATATATCTTTAAAAACAGTCTTATTATAAAGATTTATCATTGCAGAAACATCATTTTCCTATTAGTCTGTTTAGCTATTGTCCAAGATTTGCCTCAGGTAAATGTGTGCAAATACCAGCAGCTTGAAAAACAACAACAAATTCATTTAGCCGTGTGTTTTCTCTGCAAAGGTGAAAACAAAAGGTGGCTCTGAAATTGTGTTTTCTTGACACTGTGAGGGAGACAGACAGCCTCTGTGTCAACGCTCTAATAATAAGTATTCAGCATCAGTGAGTCGGGCCTGTGTGCTTCATCCTTTTTTTTATTTTATCCTCCTCGTCAAAGATGTTGGGCCGAGGGGATGATATCAATGATCAAATCACTTTCAGGCACTTACACAGCAATGTCAGCTCCTCACCTGAATACAAAAACACCCCACCCTGCTTGTCTTCAATCTCCAACCCCCCTTTACTCTTACGTCTGTCCGAGTGAGCTATGCATTTCAGCACTAAGAGGAAAGCACTACACGGGGCGGGCCCAGGGCAGTCTATCATTAAATATATGGGGCTTGCCCCCCTTGCCTTCATCTTCCCCATGGCCCGGGTTAGCAGCTCTACATTCATCAACAAGCGCTGAAGGAGAGGCGCGCACGAGAGAGAGAGAGAGAGAGAGAGAGAGAGAGAGAGAGCCTCCTCATCTCTGAAAGAAAAACCTGAAAGACGACAAAGAGACAAAAAATGTGTCAAGACCTGCTGATGTTTTATAGTGTGAACCAAAGATGCTACCTCACTCAAGTTCCATACGTGATTTCTATCACTTTGATGATACCAAAGATAACCAAAGATTTTTTCTTCTCATTGCACGGCCTCTATGAGTGGTGTTTGAAGATGTTGTGTGTCTCCCCCCCCCTCCCGTCTACTCTTTCTTTTCCTTTCTTCTCCCTCCTCCCCCCCCCCCTTCCCCACCTGCACTCAACCAATGCACCCCTGCTATGCGTGCTCTTGCTTCATCTGTGCTCTGATTACAGCTCCGTAGGTAGTCATGCTGATGTAGCTTTAGGCAGATGTGCTGATCTAGCCATAGATACACACACACAATGGGCTACACAGGGGCCTGAAGGGGAACGGGGATGTTGCCAGAAATGTGATCAGTTTTTCTTGCAGCTTGTAAGCTGCACCAAAGCAAATCTTTTTTTTTTTTACCATTTATTGGCAGGAAAGTCAGCAAAATGGGACAAAAAAAGAACATTTTATTTTGGTTTATAAGTTTCATAATAATATACCTAAATGTGATGGATTACTCTGCAGAAGTGTCTTTTGGTTGCAGCTTTGCTTGCCCTTGGCCCTGCCTCTTAGTGTGTATCTATGATAATATTGATCCAGCATATAGGTCAGACATCTTTACATGACAATAGGCAGACAAGCTGACATATCCATGGGCAGATTTGTTGACTCAACTATAGGCAGACATGTTCCTGAAAGTAGAAGCAGACGTGTTGCAATCTTTCTAAAACTCCCAGGACGAGTGCCTTGCTTGAACCAAAGTGTAAAACCGCTGTTGACCTCTCACTTTTGACTCTGCGAATACCTCAGCCTGTAGAAGGGCCACCACTGAAGAAACAAGGATGTTTTTTTCTCCTATTTTTTCGTTTTTTTTAAATCACACCGTGGTGCTTTCGCCAGCGCAACCATGCAATGAAAACTTACCAAAGGAATTTCTGTTGTCCTCTTCTACAGATTAAACCAAAGGTCTTTGTTTCTTCTCTCCCTTGCCCCCCTTTAACCCTCCTTTCCTCCTTCCCTTCCCTCCTTCCCTGCCTCGTCTCTCTGCTGTGTGTAAAAAGGTCCAGCACTCTGGCCGTGCATGTCTGTACCAATGTCTCTGAATACCTCATAGTAATAATTCCTTTGAGTTCTGCATTGAGACGTCTATCTGTGAGTTAGGCAGAACTCCACTCTTGTGGTAACTGTTGTTGTTACTTAAAAAAAGCTGTATTATCTATTTTGAAGTTTGTTTTTTGGCAGAAGTGCTCTGTTCAAAGTTGCGGAGGACAAGTTTCAGGGTTGATGTATGAAACTTAAAGGATGGAGGGAGAAGCGTATTTTTTATCAGACATTGGTTTATGCCAATATTATGACGGTAGACTATTGCTTTTACAGGGTAAAACCAACTGCTGTGATATTGTGTTCATATTTTCCCTTTTCTCTACTTCTGTGTTGTGATTTTTATTTAATTTCATTTTTGTAATGGTTAACCACTGCTTTAATTTATGCATTTGTAGAAACTATAGATTTGTATATAGTAGGTTTTTTGGAAGAAAAAAAAAACAAAAAAGACAGTTTTATGTTACAGCCTTATTTCCCACGCTTAGATATAACAAAGGAGTAGTTTGTATTCTTCTTCAGCTGAATCCTAGCCGGCATTTCAATGTGTTTTAAACACTGCCAGAAACCTAGACAGTTGATTTGCCAATGCAGACAAAGTCATACAGGAGCTACTTTGTTGAACAGCTGGCAAAAAGCAGTGTGTACGTGTGTGTGTGTGTGTGTTTTTACTATTCTTTTGACTTTTTAAGAAAACAGTTATTTTATGGGTAATACTGCACATCCAAAGATTTTTAAAACAAACCAAAAACTGGACAAAAAATATGTATAAAGTTGAAAAGCACTGGCATTTGTGAGGTAGACTTGATGAGTTTTTGATTTGCCATTCGCACGGGTATAGAATGTAGAAGGCGTAGGGCTGTGTAGACAAGCTTACTCAACCATGTGGGGAATCTCCTGTTCAATGTACAATCTGAAGCATCTGAAAAATGAGGGCTGCAAGTCCCTCCCACTTTGCTGTCTCATGCACGGAGTGAGGTAGAGTCGAGGCTGGGCAGCCGGTCTGCCAGGGGCGGTGCTGTGGAGCTGGGTCTGTTTTTATTGCTGAAGCACTGCCACCTCGCTCCACCTAGTATCTGTTATTTTGGTACGTACTCGTGTAATGACTATGAGCAAAGTCTAATAAAACTGCAAAGAACCTTAACAAGGAATCAGTGTGCAAGTGTGTACGGGGACAACCACCTGGTTGGCTCATTCCTTTTTCGTGTGTTCTCATATGTATGTATTTCTTTACGATGAGTCCGTCTTTTGTTTTAAATCTGTATGCTGCTGGTGTGTGTGCATGTGTGTGGCTGATTTGTGCATATCACAACAGTAGGTCTGACTTCCTTTAGTTGTCAGAGACCTTACTATTATACAACATGCTGATGTTATGCAGTCATTATGTCACTGAGTGTGGAAGTTTATTATTTTTTATTTTATTTTAGCAAACTAGAGGTCATTACGTAACAAAATAAAGGCCTGTAATAGAGAGGGAACATATGATACAGTGAAGATGTAGATTGAAGATTGTGAAGATGTACTTTTTACCCATTTTTACATGTTGTGTTATTTATTTTGACCCTAAGGAGTTCCCATATGATGGGTAGCTTGGCTACAAGTCTCATTACAATACTGCAGCGCCTAAGACAATCATCTGGATCTCTAACGCTGGGGAACTATAGTTTCTCACCCGCAGAGGGGTGTCCTCCAGCTCTTCATACACAATGATGCTTGAAGGGTTTTGATAAACAAGCATATTTGTTGTCATAAACATTTAGGATTAGATAACAGTAGTAGTTTATCTTGCACTTGCATTTTTAAAATGAAATGTCATCGCTCTTGTCAACCTTGTGCTCTATCATACATGATCTCTTTTTTTGACCTCCTTCTCAACTCACAATGCTTCTTCAGTTTCTGTGTGTGCTTGTGTGTGTGTGTGTGTGTGTGTGTGTGTGTGTGTGCGTGTGTGTGTGTGCATGTGTGTGTGTGTGTGTGTGTGTGTGTGTGTGTGTGTGTGTGTGTGTGTGTGTGTGTGTGTGTGTGTGTGTTATGCATGTGTGTGTGCGTGTGTGTGCGCAGTTGAGGAAAAGTGTGTGTGCTTGTGTGCCAGAGAGGCATTGCTGTCGGTGTTACTCTCAATTGTATTACGCCATGTCTCATGACTTGATTTGTTATTGCTGTTTCCAGGCTTTGCTACTGCTTTCTCAGTGCCGTGCAATATCATCTGTTGTGATTGCTAAGCAAATTTAAAAAAGAAAGAAAATTGAGAAGCAAGTGATGATGTCATCCAGCTTTTTTCAGTGTTCAAATGTTTCAACATTTCTGTAGTCACAAAAAAGTAGAAAAATAAACAGTTGGTACTTCCAGCCACTGAATCCTGCCTCTTGTTATCATTAGTTTACTTTGATTTTTTTTAATGTTTGGGTTTTGTCTTCAATTTTCTTGTTCAGACAGACAAAGTGAATCAATAAAACTTCAAATCAGATGAGGACGTAGAGGACAAAACAAGCAGACATATGAGTCTGTCTTGTAAGAGAGCCTGCATGATAAGTAGCTTCAGAAGGTACTTCATGTTATATATCCTGTCAGGGATAGAAGCAGTGGGTTCCTGTACATATAATAAACCATTATAATCACACCTTTATTAATACAGGCTATGACTAGATATATACATGTAGTTTGTAATCTAATAAAATCTCTCACTGTCTTACAAAGGTAATCAGCAAAATTTTAAAAGTTTGGTCGGAGGTTCTTTATTTCTTTTTGAGAGGACTTTTAGCAATTATCAGCGTTATGCATTGGACTATGGTCCCACAACAAAGCTGAATTGAATCAAAGTGAGTCTCCACCTGATAAATGATCAGCTACTTTTAAAGAGCCATAATACACATTTTTGTGTCAAGTAATATGGGGTCCACTTTAACCATTCACTGGGCAATAAATGCAACATTTGAGAAGATTGCGCAATGATACCACTCCGCCTGACAGTTGTACTATTGCTATGGTTGAATAGCTAACTTTAATTATTTCACATGTTTGAAGCTCTAAAGTTGGTGAAAACAGTCAGCCAGATCAGCCGTTAGAAGGCAGAAAAGAAGGGAAATGTGGCCCTTTAAGTAAACCATAATGCACAAACATCATTTTAATCATTTCTGGATACCCTAGGTCACACTGAATCACAAATAATTTGATACATCCACACTTCAACTCCTTAGTAATTTGTTGATCTGAAAAGTAATGCTGAACTCCCATAAACATCTATTTGTAATCCTTTATTCAAGTGTGGAAAGTTGAACTTGATTACAGCAATTAAATGTTTGAAAGCAAACTGGTGAATGCAAGTTGTAGAAACTGAAATATATTTGTAAAACTAGAGTTCCATTCTGAATTTCCACAGATTCCATTCCTATGAAATTTAGATAGATAGGATAGATGGATATCGGTCTTGTATTTGCTGCACTACCGATATCTTGCCACCAGATGGGGCTATAGCATGTATTTTTGTACGAACACAAGCCCTTCTTTGTTTGGGTTTGCCAACATCCTTAAAGGGAAGATTCACACTAAATTAAGATTACTTTAAACCTGGTATTCTTGTTCTTTTAGACTGTAAAATTAATACCTACTGACATGAAAGCTGTATCCCCTAATTTGAAATCAAAGCATCAACACATGAACTGATTTGGGTCATTTCAAGTTCATTTACGCTTGACTCTGTACACTATGGACTCACATATTAAATGGATCAGCCTTATATGAATGTGAATCTTCCCAATTTCACATTTTTGAAAAGAAATCTGCATGGACACTGTACACGCTTTGGTTGCTAATGCTAGCTTTATGTACGAACTCCAGGTTTTATTTCTAAATTGCATCATCACATTTCCACAGACCTAAAAGTTTTGCAGGTGTGTTCATTGAAATAAAATAATCAAATTAGACTAAGGTTGGCAAGGCATTTAAAAAAAAGAGGTATATGTTTGTACAATATTGTACAATAAGTTATTAGAAATTCTCTTTAAACATATAACTCATATTATTCAAGTCTATCTTTTTCAGCTTTA